TACTCATGAAGGGGATCTGGACCCCCTGACTAGATTGTTCCAGGTGGGTGTGTTACGAAGCAGAGGTGAACAGAAGGCATCAAGGAGAGAACCCAGAAAAGTAGACAAAAGGCCACATTGTTCTAGAAGTCCCAAATGGAAACCTCTAGAAGCTTAACTGAGGTTAAATCCCACAGAGACAGTGAAATCTAACTCTTCAAAGTGGTTTTTCTCTATGAAATGTGTTTTAAAACAGTGAAAGGAGACAGAGTAAGCCATGGTTTCTGTCAGATTAGAAATGCTCTTCTACAAAATCCACCAGGACAGGGAGAGGGGTCTGAGTGCACCTTGCCTGTGACACCATGGCTGAGATATAAAAGGAAGTGCACTCAGGCACACACCCAGGACCCATACACTCCCCCGTTTGCATGTGACATTGATGGATTGATTCATTAAGCTATACACAATGGCTCTTGTCGGCTGTGTGTAGGGACACCTCGAGTGGTGTTGGACAACGTGTGGGAATTTATTATTCTGTATGTACATCCTGTGAGTTATCAGAGTGTGACTAGCTCTTGTCTCTATTCTTCACCTTGCTCCGCTTTCCCTCTTCCTTTTGTCTTCTGCTTGGTTGTGAAGCTTTTTCCCCACCCATTCCCATTTTTTTGTTTCCATTCTCCTATGATAATCTTCCTAGCCATCTTGACCTAATTCAGAATCACCTAGGAGACACACCTTTGGACGTGTTTGTGAAAGTGTTTCCAGAGAGATTTAACTGAGGTGGGAGGACCCCCTGAACATGGGCAGCACCATCCCATGGCCTGGGGCTCTAGACTCAATAAAAAGAGGCAAAGGAGAAAGTGAGCTGAGCCACCAGCATTAATCTCTGTTTTCCGACCGTGGACAGCATGTCTCAGTGTGGCCAGCCCTTCCCCAGCTAGGATCCCTCTCCCTGATAGACAGTAACTTATGACTATGAGCCAGAACAAACCTTCCTTAGTTCCTTTTGTCTTTATTTTGCCACAGCAATAAGGAAAGTCACTAAGGCATGCCATACCTGGTGAGGCCACTTCTTGTATCCTAAACTTTCCCTTGTCCTCTCAACTGGAAGAGCTTCCTGTGGCATTTTGAGGCCCATGACAAGTCCATGACATTGCCTTGATGTCCTTTGGAGGGGAGGACATCTCTCCCACCTCTACTGCTCAACCCAGGACCTGTCTCTTTGGCAGGATGGCTTAGTTTGTTGGTATTGGCTCAGCCTGCTGTGGCCCCTTGGAGAGAGATCAAGTGGTAGAACAGCTTTGGGCATGTGGCTCAGGCTGAGTTGAGATACAAGTGTGATTCTTCCAACAGACTCAGGAGAGATCACCTCCTGGAATATGCTAGTGAGTTAGTTAGTAGACAAACTGCCTGATCACAAAGGACCAGACCACTGAATACCATGCATCAACAAAGATGACTGTAGATCATTGGATGATTTTAACTAGCTGCATCATAAATATCAGCTGGCTGATGGTTGCAGTAGGCTTATACTAATTGAAGCCTCGTTTTATCCCCATGTACAGAGGTGGGGCACAGATATTTGCAAGTCACAGGGTCATTTTTAAATCAAAGCATCATGGTTTCCTTCTGGGTCATCAGACTTATCATCTATAAGGGATGTTGTTAGTCTAAGACCATGTTGTACTTGAGCTACCTCAAGTGTGCTGGAAAACTGGCTGAAGCATGGATGGAAGTCTAAGCTCCCCAATAGGATCCTCATAGGTGGATCTGGGGATGGTACCTCCAGAACAGATGTTCCTTATCAATTCCTCTAATGCTGGACCTTTGCTGGAGGGGCACACTTGAAGAGACTCTGCTCTGGGATAGAATTGAGGCATGGTTAGCCATCATAGCTTTTTCCCCAAAGTGCGAAGACAGAGGTTGAGGGCACTCAAGAATAAATAGAGCACTCTCTAAGAGATGATCCACAGGCAAGTAAAGGGTACTCAGCAGAAAGAGACCTGAGCAAAGGTGTTGTCCAAGGTCGTTTGGCCTTTTGTCAATGTTCTGTCTTGGTCTTTTATATGATAATCACAGTAGTTATGGTCCACTATATGGTGAAGCATTATTGACAGTAAGTTCCTACCAGCAAAGGGATGGAGTAGCAGTCCAGCAAAGGGATGGAGTAGCAGTCCAGCAAAGGGATAGAGTAGAAATCCAGCAAAGGGGACTGTGAGGGCTCAGCAGCATCAGCCCCCTATTCTGACTTTGTAGTTAGAGAAAACAGAAGCAGTGAGGCAATAAAAGTTGTGTGCAGTCACATGACTACAATTGATACCTCAGCTGTGAGTCTTGAGACAAAAAACCTAACTGGGTATGAATCCTTCAGTTGGTCAGGCCCCACAACCTAGGCCAGTTCTTTCCACCTAAGGCCATTTCTTTATGAGTCACTTTACTGTCTTTGTGGATTGCCTCATACACTGTATTAATGTCACAGTCACATGTTCCATAGGCTTTTGGTTCTTTTCCATAATGTGTTCTTGTGTTTTTCTGTGTTGTTACATAGACTTAGTATGCATATTTGAAGGCTCCCCAGTCTCTCTACCTGACTCTCCCCAATTATTGTGGTACAGGAAATAGGATACCCCAAAATGTGTGCATGTTCTGATGCATCCTTGAGATGAAGACAGTACCTTGGATTGTCCAGGTGGGCTCACTCTAGTCCAGGAACCCTTGTTCAAGGAAAACACTGAGTAGGGCAGAGTCAAGGAGAAGGGGCAGCAGCCAGCACAGAGTCTGGAGGGAGGCGGGCTCAGGCTAAGGAATATGGACAGTATGTAGCAGCAAGAAATCCTGGGGTCAAGGACAGTAATCCCCACTGCCCAGCATCCTCAGAAAGCAACGCTGGGCTGCTCATTTGATTTTTATCCCAGTGTTGGACTTGACTTCCACAACTGTAGAGGATTCATTCATCTTGTGGCCATTATTTACAGCAGGCATAGGAAGCTTATACTTACTCATCACTCATGCTTCCCAATCCTGGCAGCCTTCCCTTTTCCCCACTAGAAATGTGCTTATTATGATATGATATTACGTTCTGCACATTGCACTGAAATCAACTTAGTTCTGTCACTCAAATGTTCCTAGTAACCCTGTGAAGTAGCTACCTCCATATTCTCCATCACACAGGGAGGAACCAGGGTATGCCAGGCAATGTGTTCAAACCTATCCATGTACCCAGAGCTGAGACCCAAGCCCTGGGACTCCGTGGTCCAATTTTAGTGGCTGCCTGACCACTGGTACTACCATATTAGTGATGCTGAACTTTGGCAAGACCTTGGGCTGTAACAATGGCACCCTCTGCCATTTATGGCATATTTACCTGGTACTCCATCCTTACCCAAGTGCTCTGATGAGGATCTCCCAGGGCAGTGAGGGCAAGGCCTGTGTTTCTGTAGGAGATACCATTGTCTGTATTTATGGGCAAAGACAGGGTCCACAGCTAATTCACTGAGGGTCAGCTAGGGCCAGTCTAGAGAAGATGAAAACCCATATGGTTGCCAGGACTGTGCTGATTCAAAGTCCTCACTCCCATGCCACATTACACAAGCAGGCCAGGTGACCTCTGTCTTCATCGCTGTCAGATCATCGTAAAGCATCAACATTTTACAGGAACACCAGGCCCTTCAGGTCTGATAGTAGTGCTTCACAGGAAGTAATCAGTGCATGTCACCTTGAATGACCCTCTGTCACTCAGTGACAGTCATAGATGGAGTCACAGCCCAAGTCAGAATGTGATGGAAGTTCACTGTCACTCAAAGACAGGATGTAATGGAGGTAGGATTTGGGTGGGTTAGAGGTGACCCTTGAAAACCCCCAGAGTCAAATCCTGGCCCCTTCACAAATCTGCCAAACTTGACAGTACTGTGGTATATGATTTTCTCCAAAAAAAAATGCTTTAACCTTTATCTAAACAAGCAGGGAATCCTTTTTATGGTACTGGAGATGGAGTCCTCACCCCTACCCTAATTCTATCATATTCTAGAATTCTGACATAGCATATTAAGTTTAGAGAGCCTGTTTTTTGACATTTTTAATCTCTAGGACCAGCATCATCCATTGTAGTGTTTTGAAAAGTCACATTCTAAAGAATGTGGTTTAGAGAGACAAAATTTTGCCTCTGGTCTGAAGAGACTAGTCTCTGGCTATTCTTGCCAGCTTTTCCTACGTCTGACTCACATTTCCGTAGGAACATCCTGGCAATATTACTGTGAGAGATCTCAGGGTCCATTGCTGTCACTGTGAACCCTCAGCCAAACTTGGCTCAGTTCTGCCTCAGGACACAGATTAGCTTTAAGAAGCTCCTTGCTTCCATCCAAAGATGCTTTTCCCAAAAGCACCTCTGCCTGGAGTTCTAGGAGTCAGGCAGGGTGGGTTGCATCCATCAGGAAGCTTAAGCCAAGAGACGTTTTGTTTATGTATCTGTCCTTATCTACATCCAGTCCTTACCACAGCCTCGGTTGTCTCTACAGCAGAAGCTCCTTATGTCGTCCCCAAAATATCTTCACACTCTCTAAAGCGGCTAGACAGCCAGTGCCTGGTCCCCCACTGTCCCTCTAGTTACGGTTGCATTGAGAAATTGGCCAAATTTCTGTATTTCTGTATTTATGACTTGATGCTAGAGGTGGTTGGAAATGTAGAAATGTGGTTTTCTCTCTCTCTGACTGTAAACTCGAGACAATGGAAACATGATTAGAGCCACATCTGGCCAACCACTTACTGAATCTGAAGAATAGAAACAACTGTATGGGGAAGGACTTTTGTACCCGAATCAATAATAATGAGCTCTGAGAGCCGAAGTGACTGAAACAGTGAGGAGAGGACACAGGTTTTGTCACAGCTTGTAATATGCTGGAGCTGCTATTGGCTGCTATATTGTGTGAGTGGGGGACATTAAATTTGATAGTAAAATTGAAGTTGTGCATTCTATTTTATCCTTTGGTGTACTAAAAGTAGCCGTGTCATCTCCTTTTGTCTAGGATTACTGGACACGCGCTATAGTACAAATGATCAAATCGCCCTTAAAAGTCTCCAGTCTGATGTTACAGAGAGGAAGTTGGACTTCGCCAAGGTAACATATATTTGAGACTTCTAAACTGGTCAGCAAAAGGTGTTGGACTATAAAACACGATTGCTGGCCTGCTAGAGATAGGTTTGTGGTTTGTTTTCTTTAATCGAATGTCAAGTTAATGAATCCTGAAAAATCCAACCACACGTGATTAGAAATTTTACAGGAAACTATAGATGTGTGTGTGTGTGTGTGTGTGTGTGTGTGTGTGTGTGTACATTTTAAAGTAACTCTTCCATAGTCTTCAACAATTTGTAAGTTTGCAGTATCAGAGTATGACAGTCAACCTCGATTTGAAAGTTGGGGAGGGGATCCAGACTATCATGCCATGTAGCCCCCTGAAGGTCATGAGGAAGTACTTTGAAATATAACAAGCTAGTACAGATGTTTTAACTGGAAAAAATGTCATCAGTGTGAAATAGAAACAAAAATTAGAAGTCATGTTTGCATAATGAAGCGATTCAAACCAGAGGGCGAAGAACTCTGCACACAGTGGTTAACATCAATATGCCAGGGTCTGTGCAACTGGTTGGCTCGTTTGATTCTTCTGTTGGCCCACAGTGTGAGTCCTGATGTTGAGCCCTTTGTCCAGAAGCCAAAATGAAGCTTCCATATAGAGCCATGCACTTCACACATGCAAATCTTGAAGCGCCTAAGCTGGGCACCCCAGAGCTCTCATTTCCTCCTTCGCTTTGGAGGTCTACCCCACAGGAGAGCTCACCTGCCGTGTCTTATAAATATTTTCTTATAACAGAGTTAAATGGTAAATATGTCTGGTTTTTTTTTTTTTCTTAAAAAAAAGTGTTTTATTTAACTCCGAATTTAGTTAAGATCTACAGCTCATCTAGGGATCCCTGGCCCTAGTCTCCCAAGATAAAGGATGCTATTCTAGTTTAGTTTCTGTTGCTATGACAAAACCAACTTGGGAAGGAAAGAGTTAATTTGGCAAACAGTTCATCATCAAGAGGAGCCAGGGCAGGAGTTCAAGGCAGAAACCTAGAGGCAGGAACTGACTCAGAGACATGGAGGAGTGCTACTTACTGGCTTGCTCCCCTGCTTCACTCAGCCTGCTTTCTTAGACAGGCCAGGCCCACCTGCCTAGGGATGCGCTGCTCATAGTGGGCTGGGCCCTCCCACATCAATCATTGATCAAGAAAATGCCTCACAGATAAACCCATAGGCCAATAGGGGCATTTTCTCAATTGACATTCCCACTTTTCACATGGCTCTGGTATGTGTCGTTAACAAGAACTAACCAGTGTAGATGCTATTTTGGCCCCCAAGATGTGAGATGTAGTTGTTGGCATTCAAAGCCTGTTCTAGAGGGGCACGCCATGTTTATTGTGACAAAACTTCAACATGCCTTGATGTACTTGATTTGCTCCCTGGGAGCAGAGCAAGTACACAGGGTAGAAACGGGTAGGGGTAAGCAGGAGGAGCTGTGGACCACAGGAGGAGCTGTGGTCGCTAGAAACAGAGGCTGGGGAAGGAAGACTTGAGTCTGGGAAGGATGGGGGCACTGCTGAGATGGATTAATACTTTTAAAAGAAAGAATTTAGGGCTAGAGATACAGCACAATTCTAAAACTTTTGCATAGCACACACATGGCCCTGGGTTCCATTCTCAGCACTACAGAAAGGAAGAATATGTTCATGTTTGAACTGACCATAATTCCCTTCTATTCTCCACACTGAGCTGGAGAATTCCAGTACTGTCCTATTGATGTCAACACTAGTCAGTGTTTAGTTGTTAATTATGATGCAGATCTTTGGGGCCATGTGGCCAAATCTCTGTATCTCTCCTCTCTCTCTCTCTCTCTCTCTCTCTCTCTCTCTCTCTCTCTCTCTCTCTCTCTCTGTCTCTCTCTCTCACACACACACACACACACACAGAGAGGGAGAAGGAGAGGGAGGGGGGAGGGAGAGAGAGAGAGAGAGAGAGAGAGAGAGAGAGAGAGAGAGAGAGAGAGAAGAGAGAGAGTTGCTCTTTGTGACTGCGTCATGTCCTAGAAGTCACACCTTCTCAACATCTGCTTTGGAATTGCCTGGATCATCTAATAGTGTGACTTTCTAATTTTCCTCCTAACCAAGAGCTTTGAAAGCTTGTCCTGTGTGTGTCGTAAGGCCACTGCCAAGTGATGAAACACACTCCGGCAGATTCTCCTGCCTGGGTTAGGGCCCTAACTCTCAGCCTCTCTTGAGCGCCTGTACAAGACTGATCACTTCCCTTCCAAAACACATCAAGGAGAGAGAAAAGATGGGAAGCCATGCCTCTCATCAAGGAGAGAGAAGATGGGAAGCCATGCCTCTCATCAAGGAGAGAAAAGATGGGAAGCCATGCCTCTTCTGCCAAGTGGTTGTTTAAGAGTAAAACATGGAGCACAATCACTTCTTCGAAAACAATACATATGAATTCAAGTTTTCCTTACACTAAAATTCATGACAATATCATGTAGAAACTTAGGAAGTTAGGGGCTTGGAGATGACTCTGTCGTTAAAGTAAATGCCTCACCAACATGGGGACTTGAGTTTGGACCCCCACCATCCACCCCAAAGCCAGGCATGGTGGTGTGCACCTGTGACCCCAGCACAGGGTGTGGGGCAGGAGAGGAGCTGCTAGAGTTTACTGTTCAGTCAGGTTAGCCAAATTGCTGACCTCCAAGGTCAGTAGGAGACCCCCTTCCCAGAGAGCACAGAGAAAGACACCCTGGTTCAATCTCTGCCCACCCCACCCCCCCCACACACACATGTATGCATGCTGGTGCATCTGCACACATGCAAATGCACAAATACAAAAAAGAAACTTACAAAAGCACAGAAATGTATACAAAAGAAAATATTGCTTGCATATCCTTTCCTTATTTTCCCTGTGTTTAAAAAATCGGCATTAAAAGTGCAGATCAATTTTCATGGATTTCTTCTGTCATGCACTATTCCAACATTCCTGTGTCATTTAAGGGGTTTATAATTTTTATTTTTAATTTCTTCAGACTATAAGAAGCAATTACACATACCATGAATTACTAACTGCCTTCCCCCTATTTTAAGCATTGATTCTTGTTGGTTTCCAGTGGCCATGAGGAGGAGGGAGTGGGGACTTGTATTTACTGGGAACAGAATTTTAGTTTTATAAGATGAGTTCTGGGGATGGATGGTGAGGGCTGCCCGGCATTATAGGATGCATTTGACAGCAGGGAAATGTACACTTGGAATGCTTAAGATGGTAACTCTTGTATCGATTAACCATAATAAAACACGGGAGAAAGGTTGATTCTAGCCAGCATTTTACTGCTGCTACTCACCTGAATTCTCTAGTCTTTACTGACTGCACGGAAAGACAATGGCTTCGTGATGAGGAGCAAGCAAAGCTCCCATTTCCCATTTGTTTTGAAGCCCCGAGTCCCCGTTGCTTCTCTGCAGAGTAAATGCAAGTCTGAATTGCCCTTGTATCCAGGACACAGTAGTGCTAGGTTGATAGATTACTCAGCAATGATGCTTCCAGGTCTGCTCTATGAGGGTAAGCAGGTATGCAGTGGGTGAAGGCAACAGTAGCAGAGGGTATCTGTGAGGAGATAGATTTGAATCTGAAAAATAGAGTCATAGGTGGCAGAGCTATACTGGAAAGGAAAGAACTGTCTTACCCAGGGGGGGAAATGCATATTTTAAAGGTACAGATCAGACTGCATGCTTCTCCTTCTGAGATATAAATTGCTGCAGGAAGGAAGTCATTTTCACCTCAGTGGCTCAGGCTAGGATTGCTCTGAGTATCTGCCACTTATCTCCCTCTTATTTCAATTTAGGAAACGATGCCCTTCTTAGTCATATGCCTTAAGGCATAAATAAAAAGCAAACACAGTCGATAAGAAGCATGAAAACAGTTACCAGCTCTACAAAATCACGCTGGAAACATTTAAAATAAATCAATACCTTAAAACATTTAAAAGAAATCGATAGCAGCATCTATGAGCAAGAGATTGCAAAAATTATCTTAGAAGATGCTGGTCAGCAGACGGTCCATTGCCAAAGCCAGACTCAAACCCAGCCTGGCTGTCACTCACCTTGAACAGGCATCACTTTCAATATCTGGTGGTTCTCTTCATCCTTTCAAATCCAGCTTTACATCTTTTAACTTTATTTTACATGAAAGATATCTCTCTTCAAAGCCACCTCTAGTTAACCTTTAGTTAAAAGGCAGGGGGAGTGCCACCCCAAAATAGCTTGATTTGAAACAATCTGTGCTTTTATAATTTGTCCCTTCTCTCTCTCTCTCTCTCTCTCTCTCTCTCTCTCTCTCTCTCTCTCTCTCTCTCTCTCTCTCTCTGTCTCTCTGTGTGTGTGTATGGCTGCACTCATCTGTGCATGTAGAGGCCAGAGGTTGACATCAGTGTCTTCCTTGATTGGTTTCTACCTCGTTTTTGGAGATAGGGTCTTCATTATGTTGCCTGGACTAGTTGGCCAACAAGCCCCAGGGATCCTCTTGGTTCTGCTTCCCTAGTGCTGTGGTTACAGGCACATGCCTTTACGTCCTACTTTTTCCTGTGGGTGCTAGAGACCCAAACTCAAGTTCCCATGCCTCTGCGGAAGTGCTTCATCAACCAAGCTGTCTCCCCAGCCCCAGGTTGCATATTCTATTTGATTATCTATGGGTCTCAGTGAGAAAATGAGATTTGATGAACAAAACTTGCCTTTCAGAAGCATTGTGTATGATAAAGGGTGAAAAGTCCCTCATTTTCTTTTTAATTTCTCTAATTTTATTTTGGGGATCTTTAGTGAATTGTCCAATGATTGTCCTGATCATTTGGATATTGCCTCCAAGCTATTAATTCCAAGAGACCACAAAGGTTTCTGTTACTCAACATTCACCTAGCATGTAGTATTAATAGATGTTCAATAAATATTTGTCATCTGAATCATTAAGCATACGGTTTGCCTATAACTGTAATGTTACAAACAACACCAAAAAGCAATTACAGGCAAGAATAAGTTGGATGAGATGCCTCTGTTGGTTTGATCATGTCAGTTATCTATTAATTTCTGCTGAGTCACAGGAAAAGTAATTTATACAAATGCTTGTAATAATTAGTGTTAATTGACAATTTGACAAAACATAGTATCACCCGGGAGATGGGACTCAGCAAACTTTTGGGGGACTCTCTTAAGTCAGCTGGCATGGGAGGACTCATCTTAATTGTAGGTAGCACCGTCTCATGGATTGGATCGTGGGCCTCTTTACCTTGGACATGGTGTGACGAGCTACTTCTAAATGCTGGACTGTACCTTGAACTTTGAACTAAATACACCCTCCTTCTTTCCCTCCCTCCCTCCCTCCCTCCCTCCCTCCCATTACTTTTGTCCTGGTATTTTATTACAGCAACAGAAAAGAAACCAAAGCGAGGCTTTTGATTTGAGAGACACTGTCACACTGTCATCTCTTTTTGTCCTTCACACCTTCTCTGTGAAGAAGAGAAGGCAGACAATTTTTCCTGGGCATGGTGCTGGCCAGCATGTATTCACCCAGGAACAGTGTCATCCCGAATAACACAAGAGCTTGAGAAATAAGTTCAGATTCACACTTCTCATTAGAGCTATTTCTTCTTTCTTTTGATGGAGTCAAAAGCACAGCCACACTTTCCAGGCCTCAGGTAGTGAAAAGACAGCTGGCTTTTTATCCAGGCTCTTCTAGGCCTCAAGATCCTTTTGGAATGATGCCCAAGGCCTGTGGCCCCAAGGAAGGCCTCAGCAAGTATGTCTGGAGCTCTGCCTGGAGGAACCAGACTGCCATTGCCAGTATCAGGGTCTTTTCTGTGGAGCTCCAAGCTGAACTGCCAACTCTTTATTCCTAGCAATACAGTCATGCTAATTCCAAGGCCTAGACTCTCACGTGATCCTGGGCCCATGATGGGGGCCTTTGACACGTGATTCCAGTACCAGGGAGGGTGCGTCTTAACAGACTCCATTTCAATCTTCTTCTTACATTACAGCTGTGCAAATCAAGGCTTCTCTGAGGTCTGGGGCCTCTGAGAACTATGACTCAGGATGGGTCTCAGGTCACCTAAGTCAGCTCAACCTCCTTCCTCCATATCCATACACCCTCAAGGGCCACCCAGGAGCTGGTTACAAATGCAGATTCTAGACCTCACCCCGACAGGGCCTGATTCAACTTATGCCTGGAGATCGAGGTGTTCAGGGATCTCTGCCCCCACCCCATGAGATTTTCGAGGGAGGTTGTCACTAGTCCAAACTCGAGGAATCACTACCCTGCAGAGTATGAGCAGGTTCCTGAGCTGGGTTTTGATTTTTCCTCCAGAGATCAATGTCAAAGGAATTCCCACTGGGTATGATTACACCCATCATGGGGTGCACAGGAACAATTATTATCAGCACTAAATTTAACTAGGATGGGAGGGACTGTGTACTGTCAAACGGGCGCCAGGTGCACCGTCATTTTCTTGTATGCAAATCACAGCCGTGAGTGTGCTGCAGGGAGAAGGTAGAGTAGCGGGGTGCCACAGAAGCACAGGATGCAGGGAGGGGGGTCCACAGAAGCACAGGATGTGGGGGGGGGTGCCACAGAAGCACAGGATGCCGGGGGGGGGTGCCACAGAAGCACAGGATGCCTGGGGGCAGTGCCACAGAAGCACAGGATGCGGGGGTGGGACAGTACCACAGAAGCACAGGATGCCTGGGGTCAGTGCCACAGAAGCACAGGATGCCTGCTGGAGACACAGAAGCACAGGATGCCCGATGGAGACACAGAAGCTTGAAAAGCACTGACAGCTGCCTCCTCCAGCCAGTTCTGGCCTCCTAGAGTCTACTGGTTTGTCTAAGGTGGATGCATGGGCTTCTGGGTTTCACTAGCTACAGGTCATTGTCTTGTACTGTAGTATCCGAGGTGCTAGGGAGGCATCTCCATGCACACCTGGAGACTCCATTTGACCTTGAGCTGTGAAATGACCTTGAATTGGAAGGTGGCAGTGAGGCTGGAAGGGAAGCTTGAAGGAAGTTTAAAATGGACTCCCCGTTTCTTCTCCCATCTCCAGTTATCTTTTGAAATGTGAAACTTCTCACATATCTTTAAAAAGAAAAAAGGGCACAGAAACCGAGGAAATCGGACATGGTAGCACATGCCTTTAATCTAAGCACTTGGATGGCAGAGGCAGGACAAACTCTGAGTTCAAGGCCAGCCTGGTCTACATACAGTGCTGCTTACTGGCTTGCTCCCCATATCTTGCTCAGTCTACTTTCTGATCACACCCAGTAACACCAGCCAAGGGGTTACACCTCCCACAGTGGACTAGGTTCTCCCATATCAATCATCATTCAAGAAAATGGGTACTATAGACGTGCTTATAGGCCCATCTTTTTTTTTTTTTTTTTTTTTTTTTGTTTTTTTTTTTTTTTTGGTTTTTCGAGACAGGGTTTCTCTGCGTAGCTTTGCGCCTTTCCTGGCGCTCACTTGGTAGCCCAGGCTGGCCTCGAACTCACAGAGATTCGCCTGCCTCTGCCTCCCGAGTGCTGGGATTAAAGGCGTGCGCCACCACCGCCCGGCTCATCTTTTTTTTTTTTTAAGTAACAGTGTTTTTCATTTATTTTACATATTGACCACAGTTTTCCCTCCCTCCTCTCCTCCACTTCCCTTCCCCCATCCCATCTACCCTCTTCCCCATCCACTCCTTCTCTGTCTCCATTCAGAAATGGCCAGGCCGCCCATGGACCTGAACAAAGCATGGCACGTCAAGTCGAGGCAGGACCAAGCTCCTCCCCTTGTGTCAAGGCTGAGCAAGGTTCAGCATGGGGAACAGGTTCAACCTATAGGCCCATCTTATGGAGGCATTTTTTTTTCAGTTGAGAGTCCCTTTTCCCAAATGACTCTAGCTTGTGTTGTCATTGGGTTATGTGTAGAGTCCCATGTCCAGTCTACCATGTCCAGGTAGAGGAGAACACTCAGCTATTTGAATATTAAACCTGAGACAAAGAAAACACAAATCCTAACCTTGTTCCCCTACATCTTGGGAAAGGCAAAGCCCAGGCTTTCATGGTACCTAGGCCCACCCCTTGTGAATGCATTTCTTCGAGATGACAGTGGGCCACCTGTGACCCTGTTCATGATCCCTATCTCACCTACATCACTGGGGTGTGGGGGCAAAAAGCCCCTGTACTCCACCATCGAATCTCAGGCCTGGGGAACCTGTGCTCCCAATGTTCTAGGTGATGCTGGGGTTTGAGATCTGCTGCCTTGAATGCCGAGCACCCCAGTGATGCCTTTTGGCTTCCAAGGCTAAAGTTTTTACCATTATCTCAGGGGCTGTGCAGTTCTGTACACAAGTTCATTTTAGACACATAAAAAATGGGACATGGCTCTGTGTGCACTAAACACGGGGCTGTGGTCAGCCTTCTGCAGCACTCAACACACAAGCATGAAGATACAGCAAGAGCACAGGGATTCTCCTCCTTGATCCTAAGCTGGTTAGACACGGTGCAAAAAGGCACCGTGCTTCATTCTGTACACAGCCGTGATTTACATAAGGACTTAGGAACTGCTAATTAGGAATTCCTTGATCATTTACAAAAGCTCCTCACAGAATAGCATCGACCTACAGCTATACTTTGCATACTGGTATACATCCATTTTGGTACACCCCATCCTGGTGAGAGAAGCCAAACTGATTGGCTAGCCTGGGAAACTGAATTTGGGCATCTGATTTCCCTCATCTTGCTCTCTGAGCATGGACTTCGGTGAGGCCAAGCAAGCAGAGAGTAACTGGTAATTCCAGCAGCAAAGGTGGAAGACGGTGAGAGAAGAAACTAGGGAGGTGACTCCTTGTTACCACATCTACTGACACTGTCAACACAGGGCTGACCCATGGCCTATCACTTCCCCAACTCCAGTTCTCAGCCTCCTTGATAATTTTGCCTCCCTTCCCTATCAAGGCTGTGAGATTTTTTTTTGAGGTTCTGGGGTCTGGCAGAAGTGACTATCACAGTCAGAGGGTCTCTACTAATGGAGCACAAGGCTAGTAAACTAAGACCGACACCCTGCTGAGTGAGTCCATCCTTCTCCTGATTAGGCTAACGTGTCTGGAACACTACTTCCTCACAAACATACCTAGGTTTCCATCTCTTCAGAATGCTCAGATTTGGTATCAAGAGTGTGTAGACTTGAAGTTTCTCGTCCCACTGGACCCCACGGTCCCGCAGCCGTTTATGAAATAATACTCAGAGGCTTATATTAATTACAAACTGTATGGCCTATGGCTTCAAGCTTCTTGCTTCCTGGTTCTCTCATCTTAAATTAACCCATTCCTATTAATCTATGTGTTGCCATATGGCCATGGTGTTACTGGTCTGCTAGCATCTTATTGCTCCTTTGGCGGCGGCTGACGTCTCTCTCAACTCTGCCCTTCTCTCTGTAGCTCTGCTTGGATTTCCCACCTGGCTGTAAGCTTTCTTGCCATAGGCCAAAACAGCTTTATTTATTATCCAATGGGAGCCATACATATTCCCAGCATACAGAAAGACATCCCACAGCAAGAGTGTCTTGAGTCAGCAAGGCTTTACTGAGAAATCTAAGTGTTCCTTCCCCAGCAATCTCATGACCCACGAGAATTCACTGATTATTCCTGTGAACTCCTGGAATAATTCAGATTTTTCTGCCTGTTTTCTAGGAGACATTGGCATCACAAAACACAAAAATGATATCACCTATCATCATTTCCCAGCTGATTGATGAGAAGAAATCGATGGAAAATGGAGCCGTGTTGCCTCTGCCACAAGCAATCGTTCAGCCTCAGCTGTGTCCCATGAAGCCAGCTTCGGCCAGGCGCAGTGGCGTGAACATGCACAGGCCATTTGCTCCAGACAGATTGGGAATTCTGACTCCATCAGACGAGCAAGGACTGGAGATAGAACCGCTGTCCACAGGAGACAACCTAGGCAGAGGCCCCCACAGAGGGTTCTCATCTATCACCATTACTGCCAGACGTGTGGGCCCTCCAGCCAACTCCTTGGTGTGGGACACTGTTAGGGACCCACTGTGTCCCAATTGCAGGGCCAAGGATACTTTGCTCCAAGACGCCCCAGCTCTGGCCAGTGGTGTCCATCTATGTCAGCACAATGGATCCTTCACCTGTACAGAGTTCCCTAGCAATGGCTCCATAGAAGGGCTAAAGGTTCCCCAGGCTCACACAAGGCTGTGTGCAAGGCAGGAGTACTGGGTCACCCACATGGATGACAAAGAGGACAGTTTTTCTTCAGACAGTTCACCATCAAGAAAAGTCCCACTGATGTTCAGTTCCTGTGTCCACCTCCGGGTGTCTCAGCACTGTCCCAGTGCCATTTACTATTTGGACAAGCCTCTTTCCGTCCCTCTTGAACAACCTCAAATTGCTAGCCCCAAAATGCACAGGTCTGTCCTGTCTCTGAGCCTCCGCTGTAGTTCCCACGGGTTAACAGCAGATGGAGTAGACAGCACAGCTAATGGAGAGCCAATCAGCAGAGCCCTGCCCCAGGAGCTCTTGAAGGGAAAGCAGGATCTCCTAGGTCCACAATGGGGCCAGCCCCACGAGGGTCACTGGAAAGAGAGTCCAGCCTTGGTGCCAGCACATTTGGGGAGTGGCACATACCCTAGGACTGGCTCCCCTCCCCTGGAAAATGTCAAATTTGCAGATGTGGGAAGGAACCAGGTTCCAAGAAGAAAGGAGAAAGGGGACTGTGCAGCATGTCCCACCAGCAACCATGCCAACCAACTCTCCATCCATATTCCTGGCTGGAGTTACAGGGCAGGTGAGTAGATGTCCACTTGCTGGAGGGTGCCCAATATCAGTGTTCAGCTAAGGGAGTGCTGTTGAATTTCTTCTGTACAACTCATCCCAGGAGATCTTTCGCATCAAGCATTTGGTCATCTCTGCCTCAAATCAACAACTCATAAGTTGGTGCTGATGTCTGATTAGAAAGATGTTCTCATATGAAACATTTATAGATAATGAGAGACCTTCACTCAAGTTCCCTATCCCAACAAAAGAGTGCCAGACCACACATGCAACCCATAGCAAACAGTGGCTCCCATAGCAGCTGGGATAGAGCGTGCTCACATCACATTCCAGAACTGGGGGAATAGAATAGAATGCCACCCACACCCAGATTTTTTTAAAGCTCTTCAGGGATTCAACATCTGAATATTGGGGGGTTTGTCTAGAATTCTAAGGTTTTTACTTTTTTTTTTTTTTTTTTTTTTTTTTTTTTTTTTTTTT